ATCAGTGTACTGAAGTAAATCTATTTGTATGTTTGTGTAAAAAAAGTCGTTTTCTATTGTTTTAACCCTCTGTTTTTCTAGAAGTGCCCAATTTAGTTCTCTGAAGCATCCAAGCACATAGTCATTCTTCCAATTTATATACTTGGCCTAACTGTGACAGTCCTATAATGTGACTGTTTTATCCCCTCTATACCCAAGCTAGCAGTTTTGTGAAGTGGAAAGTATAGGGGTGTTACACATATGTTTATCTTTTTGTTTTTGTCTTAGTGTGTGTGTGTGGGAGGTTCACGTGTGTACATGATGTGTGGTGGGGAGCACTCACCATGCATACACATTTTAAACCCTGAGGTTAAAATTGGATGTCTTCCTCTGTCACGCTCTACTTTGTTCTCTGAGACAGTGTCTCTTACTGAACCAGGAGCTCCTTGTTTGGCTAGACTGACCAGTATCAACAAGCAAGCCTCCAAGACCTGCCTGTCCCTGCCTCTACAAGTCTAGGATGACAGGCACACTTGACTGTACCAACCTTTTACATAAATGCTGGGGATCTAAACTCAGGTCCTCATATTTGCATTGCAAGTATTTTACTGATGGAGAATGTCCTTCTGTGTATATGTTTCTTTTATTGGTTGATAAATAAAACACTATCTAGCCAATGAAGCAGGAAGATAGGCAGGACTAGGATAAGGAGAATTCTGGGAAAGGTAGGCAGAAAGAGCCCATCAAAGACAGTCACTATGTAAACCACAAAGGAGTAACAGGTCCGGACATTCTCTGGTAAGCCAAGACCATGTAGAAATATATAAATTAGTAGCTATGGGTCAAGAAATAAGAAGAGCTAGTCAATAAGAAGCTTAAACCATCAGCCAAAGGGTTGAGGTGGCTGCAGGACCAGGCTGGCGGGAAGGAACCTCAGCAACATTTTAACTATCAAGTTATCTTACCAGACCCTGATTTTGTTTATTTGTAAAGTGGATATCAATCTATTAATAAATTATTCATAATATTCTTTCCTAACTAGGTATAGTGGCTCATTGTCTCCAATTCCATACTCAAGAGTCTACGACAGAAACACTATTATGGGTTTGAGGCCAGTCTTAACGATGTAGTGTGTTTCAGGACAGTTTGGGTTAAACAGTGAGATGTCCCAAAACAAAACAAATGAAAACTAAAAAGATCCTCTTTCCTTTTCAGGTATAGCATCAACAGAACAAGATAACCAACTTGAACTATGCATTTATTCATCAAATTATCTAGTCTGAATGTATACCTTTATGCTTACCACTTTTACACATGCTGTGGGAGCTTACATGCTTTATATGTAAATATTTAATGCATTGATTTAATACATTATTTTCCTATCATACACACTGCTGAGAAAGTGGCCTTATGCTGGAGTCTACTTATCTTATTAATTAGCGGGCTGGTCCTCATTCAGATGACATCAGTCTGGCTAGACACCTGCTCCTGGAGGGAGGTGGAGTCGCTCATCCTTGCTCACAGGAGCTTCCAATCTGAGAAGAGCAGGTGGGGCTGGGAGAGGGCAGGTGAGGTTTCTCACAGAGACACAGAGCTGTGAATGGATGGGGAAAAGAAAGAATTAGGGAGATAAAAGAAAGTTTTTCTAGGTAACTGCAGCAAGGTACTATTTTATGAGCATTCTTGTCAGCTTAGAAAACTCGTCATATAAATTAGATCTTTAAGACCAGGGATTCCATAGTTTGGGGGCATTTTATTTCTGTATACTTGTTTTCAGAAAACTGTCATATGATAGAAAACCAAGAAGAATTAAACACATAGAATCATACAGCTGTATAGTGGTTATGTTGGATATGGGATAGAAGGGGAGTTGGCACAGCCAGGAGGTGGTGGCTCACACCTTTAATCTCAGCACTTGGGAGGCAGACGCAGGCGGATCTTTGTGAGTTTCAGACCATCCTGGTCTACAAGAGCTAGTTCCAGGACAGCCTCCAAAGCCACAGAGAAACCCTATCTCCAAAAACCAAAAAAAGGGGGGTTGGCTAAAGGTCCAATGTCCTTATTAGAGTAGATGAATAATTGATAAATATATAATTCTGATTTATCAATATCAATAAAATAATTTTTTATTGAAGAAGGTTAGAGCCCCTCAGTATCTACCAGAACAAACCACTCTGATTCAGCAAAGGTCCATTGGTTGATGATGCAGTTAGAAAAAATAATACAACAAGAACTTGAGCTGGACTGACCTCTGGGCCATTACACTGTTCAAACATCACCATTTGTACAGTCAGACTCATTGTAACTTTAAAGCCATATAAAGAGGGCATTAGTTAGTGTTCCTTTGTACTTTCAGCCCATGTCATTGTTTATCTGCATTCCAAATTTGTAGTATTATGAAAACCCATTGCATAAATTATGTTTTAAGGATCAGGGTTTCCATAGTTTTAAGGAATTTTATTCCTGTACCTCCTTTAAAAGGGTTACATGGCCAAAATCTTGTGTTTTCTTTCAAACTATGTAACTTGATGTTTGTAGTTCTGGGGCCTTGTTTTTATCAAACCAGCCAGATTTTTTCCCTCTACATTTTCCTTAGTGATCAATAAATGAGTTCAAACCAGCATCTCAAAGATCTTTATTTGACTGTCTCTTTGATTTGAATGACATGGTCATCTTCCCTATCAGAGTGGCAGAAACTGCATCCTGCCATTTTCAGAGGACTTGACTATGCCTGGCTTCTCTTCTCCAGGAAAATAGGCTTTGAAAGATGATTTCAGTGTGTAAGTTAGTGGCTCCCTACATAATGCAATTCTGTACCTGGAGCATTTGTTACACAGATATTAAGTGAATTTACTATTTGTGATATTATTGTCCTCTTATATTTAGATAAGATTAATATTGTCCATCCTTTCTGTAGGACAGCTGAGCCAAGTAACTCAGAAGGAATATTGATACCTTTAAAATCTTTCTCACGTGTTTACTGAAACCACATGCATGGAGCCCTACTTTCTGAACTTTATTGGAATTCTGGTATGTAAGGTCCTGTCCAGGACAATCTTCCCAGTTCTGGAAAGATGAATGCTAAAGCACCTGCTTTCTGCTTAGTGATAGCCTTCTGTTCTGAGAGACAGTTTCCATTTCCTTACTAATACACACCAGGAAAATGAAGATGTTTCACTCTAATTTCTCTTATTACTCCTCTCTTTCTAACTGTGTTGCAAAATGCTTTGGTCAGGGCTCTGACACTGAGCTATTTACATGAAGAGCAATTCAAATATATTTTTCAGTAAATGAAAAACAGGTTTTTGCAAACTCCAAGAGGTCTCTAGTATAATGTGTCCTTCAAAATAGCCGTAATCAATACAGAACTCTTTTCATGTGAGTGTGTATCAGAAATATACTGTGCCATTGAGAGGAATTTACTAGGCGGTTAATTCCTTGAATATCTTAAGGAATTTGTATCATTGCTTGGCATTTTAATTTGTCTTTATTTTATAATTTGTAATAAACTTATTTTATTTGCTTTTTGAAAATTTAAATATTGTGCGGTTTTCGATTTGTAATTTGCGAGCTTATGTTTGACAGTCCCACCTGTAATGAAACACATAATTACTGTTTGCTTCTTGATATGAATGGCTTCATCTGAAGGGAAGGGCAAGTTCAATAATCTATAAAGAGTCTTGCAGGATGTGCTTTAATGTTGGGACAGAGCATTCAGTTTGTATCCATTCCTTTCCATCATGAGGTATTAATGCTAGAGCAAACAAATGGCTCTGAAAAAAGAGGACGTAACTGTCTGTTCCATATGGGCATTTGTTAGCCTTTGGGTTTAGGGACTCTTTGGTGTGTCTAACTATTTAGTAATGAATTGTTAAAGCCGTGGTTCACAAAGTGCAGTCTCCAGTGATCAGCATTAGCAACACGCATTCCCAGGTCAGGCCCCCTCTCTAACTGTGATCCTCTGGACTGTATCAAGCTTATGCATAACTCTGATGCAGGCCAAAGCTTAAGGACCACTGCCCCATTCCTTTGTTATCAATATAGCCTGTGGACCAACAGTAGCACCTGGTGCTGTGTAAGTACTCTATGATGTCACACTAGACCTTACAGTGTCTACACAAGATCCTGCCTATCAGCAAGATACCCAGGTGATCTCCATATATATGAAAGCCCAAGGTCACTGGTCTAAGAGTTCAGGATTTAGAGCCTTGAACTTTCCAGTAAGAGAGCATCTTTCATTCAGAGGCATTTGGAATATGTTTAAGTAGAGCTCCATGGTCCTTTACTATTTGTCTAGCCCCTCAGTTATCTCCGGATTAAAAGGCAGAAGAGATTTATAAACATCTTCACTGAACAGTTCAAATTGTATAAGGACATACTGATTCTACACCCTGTGATGGAAACAGGACTGTAATTTGGTTAAAAGAGCTGTAATATAGGTAGTGAATCTGTTACAGTCTGTAGGCATATTTATACGTAGACACATATATGTGTATGCGTAATGTTTGTGTGTGTGTTCTGTAGCAATGACCTAGTATACAATGATGATCTTGACAGGGACAAAGTCATAATTTTCAAGTCTGTTAATTTTTGAATTTACTTTGCAGTTATAAAGCTATAACAGACATCTTTTTCTCCTAATTTCATCTCTACTGATGAATTTGGCTTTCAGTAATGTAACTATTTTAAGGAAATCTTTTTGTAAGTGAAGGAAACTGCACAAATTAGAGGTTTTTTATTGCAGTGGGGCTTTTGCCATGCCGCAGTACTAAAGAACAAGTGACACAAAGCTTTTGAGAGTGCAATGAAGTTCACTTCCTTCCCAGGCCTTTACTGTTACGTATTTGTCAGTGATAAACTCCGTTTCCAGTCAAAAACTGTCATTGTTCAAATAAAACCTTATTTGTCAAAAATAATTTTATCATGGAAACGTATGAGCAGGAAAGGATTAAAACATCCTTTGGAAATCTTCACCACACCCCATATGTAAATAGGTCTGTCACTCCTGTGTTTGTCCACAGCTCCAGCTCCAGATGAACCAGGGTAGTGTGTGGTGGCAGGAACAGCTGACTCATTAGTAGAGAGCAGTGAAAGGTAATTAACCCTGGGAAAAGTACAGCTGCCATGCGGGCTGTTCCTTTTTGTAGGATCTGATTAGAAATTAGTGTTAAACCACTGATTCTTTTTTTAAAGACTATCATTGAGAATTCATTTTCTCTCTCAGGTGTGTCCCTAGAAAAGGTTCTCCAAAGTACTTATGTGTAGAGGTCTCAAATACAAACAATGTTTTCTCTTAGTGGTAGACACCTGTTTTCCCTGTTGTGGGATAGTCTTTAAAATAACATCTCTGGCTATTGAATGTGGTACTACCCAGACTCATACTCTGTTACTGTTTGCATCACTCTAAGGCAGTGGCTCTCAACCTTCCTAGTGCTGCGGCACTTTAATACAGTTCCTCATGTTGTGCTGACCCCCAAGCATAAAATTATTTTCTTTGCTACTCATAACTGTAATTTTAATTAATTGCAATATAAAAAATTTCTGGAGATAGAAGTTTTCAGAGGAGTCACAGCCCATAGGTTGAGAACCACTGTTCTAAAATAGTGTTTTTTGCAGTTAATAAACTGAAGATAATTGATATTTACTTAACTTTTCTCTTTTCTTTTTTCCATGTTTTCTCTGTTGATGATTCCAACAGTAGCAATGGCAACTCTCTGGTTCAAATTCAGTAGCTGCTAGGGAAGGTAAGTGGTGCCTATTTAAAATTAAAATTACACACAAAAATGCCTTTCAAATGTCAGTGTCTTTCAAAAATACATAGTAAGTTAAGAAATTTGATTTTAGAAAACCAATAAAGATGTTGGTATTTATTAATATCAGTACTGAGATTTGTGGCATCACATATATGATGAGGAGCACTGGCACTAAAATTTTAAGAATTCATGTAGGTGACTAGAGATTGTGGTGCACAGGATGATTGCCTCCCTCCCAAAGATGTGTTTGAAATTGGTGAATATGTTACCTTGCATAACAAAGCATATATGAGTCAGTTAAGAACTATGTGATGGGAAGGATTTCCCATAACAAGCATGTATGAGTCAGTTAAGAACTGTGAGATGGGAAGAATTTCCCAGACTGTAGAGAAAGAACCAATTATCTGTGGTTCTTACGAACAGGACAGTATAAAAAATGAGAGAGCTAAAGCTGGAAAAAGACTCAACCAAAACACCCTCTCTAGCTCTCAAGAGGAAGGAGACTTAGTCACAGAAAGTGTCAGCACCTCGAGGCAAGAGTGACTTGAAGTGTCATCCAGTAGCTCCATGTTGTCAAGAATATAGAAATGGACTCTGTTAAACCAGCTGAGTGTGAAAATAGATTGTCCCTTACAGTTCAGTCTGACTTTGGTTCACACTGATAAGACCATAAGAAGGCCCCAGGCCTTCACAATTATGAAATAATAGTAAGTCTGTTTTTAAGCTACTGTTTATGAATATTTGTCAAAGAAATAAAAGAGAATTAAGAGAATAAGCCAACCAATGGGTGGGATATATATTACAGCTATTAATATAAATCCTAGAAGAATACTCTGTTTCTGAATGAAAAAAATTCTTGAGAGGCCAAAATTAATAGTCTAAAATTATTTATTTGGGGATGTAAATGATGACCATTGCTACTTAGTGATTATATCTTCCATTTTGTAACACTTCTCCATTCCAAAATCGCTACATATCATGTTTCTATAAATGCAGTAGTTGTGTTACTGAAAAAGCAAAGGAATGCATGTTTTATTTACCCCTTCAGTGAGCCTGAGTAAGCACGAGTTTGGGAAGGAATAATGGAGTATCAGAGAGGGCAGAAGCCGAGGTCTCTGCTGCAGAAGTTCAATTTATATATGAAAGCAGAGGCTGCCATGTGAACTGCTTGTCACCTGTATGACACAGAAGCTGGTAGTGATATTACTTGACTGTCCATTCACTGTGTGTAAATTGGTGGTAATATGGAATTCCCATAGGCATGTCATGATGATGAAGGGACATGGAACAGTCCAGTGCCTATGAAACTCATGTTTCCTGATAAAACTCCAGTAAAGACAAGAGATATTTGCTTAGTAAATTCTATCTCTCTTCACTGTTGATAGAATTGCTAGACATGTTTTGTCTTTCCTCCTGCAAATGCTTAGTTCCATTTTCCTTAGCAATATCAAACTCATCAATTTTGAATGTGTGGGCATATTTCACTTAAAGTAAAATGTAGGTGGCCAATGGTCAGGACCTTCTGGTAAATTCTGAATGAAAAAAGGGAGACTCTAAGAATGAGGTTCTCATAGATCTTAAAATAGGTCAGCAGCCTTCCTAGACCAGTCATTTCCCCAAATGTGGCTAACTGTATTTCATTTTAGATTTGACATTTCTCAAGAAGAGCCAATTTAAGGTTATGTAATTTTTCATTTTAATGAGGTAAAAGTCGACATTTGGTAAAAATCAGGCATAGATCGATCACAATTCATACATTGTCTTCTTTATATTGGGGAAATATTTGAACACAGAAAGAAAAATATGTTGGGTAGGGTGACTTCAGAACTCTAACCCCAGTATTTGTGAATCTGAGGTCATCTGGGTATATAGCAAGACCTTATCTCAACAAACAAGCAAACCCTGTCAATTTTCTTTAGCTGGTAGAACAACCAAACTGACTAAACCTATAATATCCCAGATGCTGAGTGTCTGGGATTTATCTAAATCAATTAATAAGCTATAATCTCAAGAATCTGAAAATGATTATATTGGGCTTATTTCAGCTCAACAGTAATGTATTGAGCATACCCCATAGCCATAAAATGGTTTCTAGAGACACAGCTCTCTATCCATGGTCCTACCCTATCCTATTAAAAACAGAAAGACATGAGTAAATGGAGTGCAAGGCAGAACCTAATTGTCATCAAAATTCTGCGGAATGCTGTCTACCATGAGTGGGGGCAGATTTTGTATTTCTCATGCTGAAGGGGGATGCTTTTTGGAGAGTTACATAGTAAATGAACAAATTAAAAGCATTTAATTTCAGATAGTTAATTCAACCATCTTCTGTCTTTAACTATTTCACAATTTCATAAAAATGTAGCTTTAATGTATTGACCAAGCCAGTTTGACGATTGCCATCCTTTCAATTAGTCTTTGATAACCTTTTCCTATTTTATTCAGGGTTCTCTCAGCATCTACAGAATCACAGTAATCTAGAAGCTGTCTAGGCCCCACTCATGTCCACTAGTTCCTCTGTCCTCTTCTTTCTAAGGATGTTCCACATTATATTGGGATCTTTGACTTGCCTGTTGGTACTGTTGAGGTCAAGAGTTGTGCCTTAAATATTTTTCATACCCATTATTTCCCATGGGGCAATATGTATATTGTTGCCCAGTAACTGTGTATTGAACCATTAATAGTATATTTTACAAGGAGCTTATTTGAAAATGATCTATGTTAAAGAATTCTTGTTTATAGTGATAATTAAAGTCTAAGAATTCTTTTTCCAAAATCCATTAGCTCATTGGCCTCAATAACTGAGAGTCACGCCATTTTCTTTTTAAACTTCAGTAGATTCTATCCATTCCATTTTCATCATCAGATAAAGAAGACAAGCAGCTATAGTTTTTTGTCTTAATTCATATTTAAAGAATATTGTGAAGATGTTAATGAAAACCAAACAGTTACTATTGAGAAAACTAGCAGACTTATTGTAAATATTCTAAAGAACCTCTTGATGGTAGTAAGGAAAGTGACAAATGTCCAAGGATATCAAAAATATTGTGTGACCATCTATATAATAAAATGACCTAAAGAGAGAAAATTCCCTTTACATAGTAAAAAGCCTTGTGTTTTTAATCAACAAGTGTTCTATGAACTCTATTAAAAGTATTTTTGACATTATAAGGATGTTCAGTATAGATTTACTCAAAATAGCACATTTAGTTGTAACGGAAGCTTTGAAGTTAAGTGGTTAGTGTAATAAAACATGGTTTCCATAGTTACCACAGGAGAACAGAGAATAACTTTTATTTCTTTGGAAGCCAGGAAGGGGCTTTAAAGAAAAAATTATGCAAACAGACCCATGAAGGTTTATTATTCATGGCTTCACATCTGATTGGGTTTTTAAATAAAGAAATTCTTGATAGTGTAAGAAATTAGAGTGTTTTCACTAAAATCTAAGGCAGTGCATTAAGAAATATCAACCTTCCTGTTCTCTGGGCATTGTAAACTCAACTCTGAGTCAAAGGACAGATTTCTTAGCAGACAGCTCTGTCAGATACATTTTTGTTCACAGTACTTTCTTGATAAGCCATGTTGTAAACAAGTTGGTTAACACCTACCTGCTGAGTGCAGTAACTCATTGCTCATGGCCGATCAGGGGCCACAGGCAACTTTATTCTTCACTATAGATGTATCCTGTTGGAATGCTTATGGAAGGGAACTTGAAATCCTTATTAGTGAAGATGTCTTCAGTGACAGCCTCATTGTTAACAGTTTATATATGTTCTTTCTGAGTGTTGATGGAGGTCTCTGTCACACTGTCCTCTGCTGCATCTAACCCAAGGAGATTTGCACAGTTGCCACTTAAGACAAGAATGACATGGTTTCTAGATTCAACCTTCAGCCCACCAGTCTTTAAAGCAGTTGTGATTAACAGGACTTTTGCAAAGTTTCTATGTAGTTACAAGGACAGTTTCAATCTTCTGTCATTTTTTTGCATTAGCTCTGATTATGCTTTTACCACAAAAATGCATTTGTTTTAAAGGTAACAATACAGACTGGGAGAATAGCTTATGTTTCATCTATATTTATCAGCATTCACTGTACATTTGTGTCTTCATTACCAGGAAATATTAAGGGACATTGTGCCATCTATTCCTGTTTACAGTTTATTATGCAGAGATAGGAAACACTTAGCATGTAAAATGAATGTAGAAATTATTCCTGGATAGAAACACGGACATTTCCCACTCGTTGGCTCTTTCTCCTCCATCACCGGATCAGAGTGTAATTGTCAGTAATCAGGCCTGCTTGCTGCTGATAAAACCACTCTGAATGCTAGCAGCCTTCTTTGTGTGATGACTCAATTATTCCAGAAGTGCCTCATCAAATCTGCCCCATCAGCTGGGCTAATAAATAAGGAGAAGAAACTGGCCCCCCAAAGCAAATTATAAATCCATTTGCATTAACCATTTCTCTGGTCCATGATCTAGGCAGAAATAAGCATGGCAGATTGTGTTAAGCTTATTTGAATATGTTTATAATGTTTACAGCATGCAACTTTTTTCCCACAAGGTGTCGGAATTATCAGTCATGAATGGCATCTAAATGCAGTTATGTTAATTACCACATGGCTTTAAGTATCTTTGAGGGCTAGTTTGTTGCTTAAATCAGGTAAAAGTTAAATCATCTTGAGGGAGAAATAGAAGTCTTATATATAAGGTGTTGGAATTGCTTCAGACTTTGTGGAGAAGATACTGTGATTTTTTTTAAAGGATTGCAGGGACAAATATCAATACTAGAATGCATACTTGTGTAAATGTAATTGTTAGGTCTGTGTGACAGTGAAAGTCACAGTTATTTCAGTCTTCTATATTACTTCAGCCTCTAGGCAAAAATGACCTGTTCTGAAAGGAAATCAGAGTTCTGTAGAATTCCTTGCACTTAAGATTTCTTGAAATATTCTGTAGGACAAGATTCAAAAGCTGGGCAAATCACTAAAATGTCACTAAATCATTCAATGGTAATTAATACATTGGTTGATAAATTTTACTTTATTCTTTTAAAATTACCAACTATTGAAGTTTGGTTTATATTTGAGCTTTACTGATTAGTCAGGGAAGCATAAAGTATTCAAACTGGATGAGGAAAGGCAATTTGATACATAGAACAAAATAATTCATCTTATTGAATATCCAGTATCCTCCAAAAACCTAAATGATCCTACTTTCTCACTTTGCAGTTTTCCCTGCAGAATATGCCAGACTGACAGAACCTACTTGTCCTACTCCCACTATGTTCTTATAACTGACTGGTCTGGTTGTGAAAAAAAGTTTATGAGCAAGAAGAAGCACTTTTATTTGCCTAAAAGACTTAAATGAAACTCATACTTGTACTCATTTGTTCCAGAAAGCAAAGCATATTCTCTACTACCAACCTGTAATGCTCAGCAGAAGAAATTTATTTTTAACAACATAAATATTACATGGCAACAAACTCACAAAAATTTGATGCATAATTTCATAATAGAGAATTTTGTGCTTTAAAGGACAAAAACTATTCTAAGGCTTATTGACTAGAACTTAAAAAACCCAAACAAACAAACAAAAAAGAAAAAACAGAAATAAATGTCAACAGAAATTATCAGAAGTAAAATGACAAATGGAAACTGAAGAATTTCATTGTGCTTGCTGTTAGCCATACACATTATATACATATGTATTAATATGTACAGAAGTATGGTAGTATGAGATAGTAAACATGTATTTATATGTACATGATAGAATAGAACACTGTTATACAAAATTTGGCTATAATCTAAGTCATTATAATGATTATTATAAAATAAACCTTGAAGTTTAGAACTGCAAAGAGCTTGTATTATAAGTCCCAAGAAAAGATAAGTTAAAGATAATCCCTTTTTTCATTCTAGATGGTGAATAGTCTGTGAAGCTGTTAAATGTTAAACAGTGGATGAGAGAGTAAAACTGTTAAAAGTTGTTGAAGCAGAACCTCAAAAAGTATTGAGACACAACAAAATATGCTGGTATTGTTATGTGTACTTGTTAAGGAAATAAAGCCAAGTGGTCTTTGGAGATTACTTGAACTTTTTAGGCTTTTGAGAGGACTGTTGTTCTTGCTCTTTCTGACTAGACAGAGCAGGCTGGTTTCACTGGTAGGCAAACCCTACAAAAACAATGGCAGTGTTGATGAGCTTCTGTTAGTTACCTGGCATTGATGGTGGTGGTGAGACTATGATAGAACTTGTTGATGATGGTGATGAGATTATGTTAGAGCACATTGATATGGTGGTGATATCATGATAGTTAGAATACATTGATGGTGGTGGTGAGAACATGTTAAAAACGCATTGAGGGTGGTGGTGAGATTATGTTAGAACACATTGTTGGTGGTAGTGATGTCATGATAGAACACATTGATATGGTGGTGAGATCATGTGAGTTAAATACATTGATGGTGGTGATGAGGTCATCTTAATTAGAACACATTGATGGTGGTGGTGAGGGGATGTTAGTTAGAACACACTTATGGCAGTGGTTAAGGTTAGGCCATGTTGGTGGTGGTGGTGATATCATTTGCAGATGGTGGTGAGTTCATGTTAGAAGTATGGTACACACGTTGAATGACACATTCATTTGCTCCTTCACCAAACTTTTCACCTTACATTTAGTTTGGAAGATTTAATAAGTATTACTTCCTTTGGAACTATATGTAAACCTTCAGTTCTTGGTTTGTGGGTCACAGTTGACATACTGATTAATTTACTTAGTCCATTCCTCCACAAAACAAAACACAATCTCAAATGTTTCAGGATTCTTTTCTTTGAAATAATATACCAGATACATTATATTGCATCTTGGATTTGAGCAGAACTGTCTTTTTCAGAAGCAGGTACTCATTCATGAAGCAGTTATCAAGGACTGGCATCCTCTATTTCCAGAAAGGAAGTCAGAAAATAGGGTACTTGATGTTGACTTCACAGAGCTAAGATACCTGAGCATCTGAGTCATTACTTAGCAAGATGCTGTGCAGCCCATTGGCCTGCCATACTTTGGTTTCCATGTGGTTTCACCTTTTAGGGTTGCTGTTTCAAGAAAGTAGGGGCTTCTGAGAAAGTGCTTGGTGAGCATCCAGGCCTGGAGGTGACTGTCTTAACAATGTGTATTCCCCACAGGCTCTTATGCATTTAAGTTGGGGAAAGGTGATTTTCTCTTAAAGAACGTGGAAAACAGAATGGCAAATAATACAGCCGGGCAGTGGTGGCGCACGCCTTTAATCCTAGCACTCGGGAGGCAGAGGCAGGCGGATCTCTGTGAGTTCGAGGCCAGGCTGGACCGACAGCCTCCAAAACAATACAGAGAAACCCTGTCTCGTAAAACAAAAAAAAAGGCAAATAATAATTGCTAAACCAAAAAAAAAGGCATTTAATAAAATTGGGGTTTTAAAGATATCTCCTTGTCATAGTGCATATATTGGAAGGGAGGAACCCAGGTTGCAATGGGAGGTTCCTGTTTGATTTTAATGGGCATCCAGAGAGGAGCTGGGTGGAACTGTAGTGAGCAACTCAGAGTGGGTGCCCTGAGAGGCCCTGCTCCCATTTGTATCTCCCTGTGCTTCACATCCTGGGCCTTTGCATGTCAAATCATATTCCTAAACTTATCTTTTCTCAGCACCCTCTGCACACTTCTCAAGCAGATCTCAGCTGTGCTGCCTCCATTCTAGTCTCCAGGGAGGGAAGCCACAGCAGATGGGGTTAGGGCAGAGGGCTGACGCATCTGACAGCAAACGGCTAGGCTGCTGAGTCGAAGCTGTGAGCATCAGGAAGCTCCTTCTCCCAAGAGACCCAACTAACCACTGAAGAAAGTTGAAAATGAGCCCTTTGAGAAGCGCTATTAAAAGTAGTAAAAAATTGCAATTGTGCAGATGACGTGCTGCTGTGTGCTTATTCGGATGCTAATGAGTTTGACATTAGGGAACTCAGAGGCTTTACAGCTACTCCCTTATGTGATTCAGTTCTTTATTGGCAATCTTTGAGAAAATAAATGGAAAATGTATTGCTAATAAATACATAACACGATAGGGCATTAGACAGAAAGCCATTACTTTCAGGATTTAGAAAGAGCTTTGTTCACCAGTGTGACTGCTTCCAGGATCTTTTGTTTTAGGTTGGTGTGTGGCAAACAAAGGGAACTAGGCAGGTGGAAAGCTCCAGAACTCTTTCTGAACCAAGAGTGCAGCAGAATGAGCCAAAATCAATTTTTTTATTTCTTAAGTTGCGATCAAATACAAAGTAAGACTTCCCAAGCTGCAGCATTCCCTTTCCATTCTTCTATGTGGGCAGCAGTGTGTCCTGTGTGAAAATTTGCTGCCTGCTTCTTCACAGCCACAGTTGCTGACTTGAGTTGCAAAAGCATCTGATTCGTGTCTGGTCAAAGCCTGCAAGAAGGCACCTGTGACTCACGTCACTACCTCCATACACAACACAAGGCAAAAGCCCAGTGACAGAAGTTTCCTGTAAAGAAAGCTGAGAGCTTATATCTCAGAACTGTCAGCTGTAAACATGTAACCATGGACATGTGCGTGTGGTGTTAGTTCAACAGGGCCCTCTCTAGGATGCTGAGTGCATTACATTGGCTTTCAGTGTTGTTGTGTGTGTTTGGTTTTGTTTTGTTTTTATTTTACCCCACCCTGGAACCAAACAGAGGGGATACAGCTTTGTGCATGCGACTTGAGGGTAAAATAAACCAAAAGGAAGTTACTTCCTTGAAAAGAAAGTTCCAACATTGGTCATGGGATTAATTGTATCTTCTGCTGGCCTCTTTCAGAACAGATCCAAGTAACAAATGGTTCCTTGTGTCTTTTGCAGCATCATCACTAGAGCTCATTACAAATAGTACCTTAAATTTTTCTAAATGATGGTGAAGATTAATAATAATAATAATAATAGGAATGGGAATATAGCTCAGTGGTAAAGTGCTTGTCTACCATGCATAAGCTCCTTGCTTCAATCCTTAATGCCTTAAGAAGAATCAGATTATTATTATTAATAATACAATTTGTAGTATAGCAATTTCATTGTATTGTGACCAACCAAATTATAGGCAAAAGGTGCCAACATGCCCTCTGTTGTTCACTAAAGTTCATTTAAATAAGCATTTTTCTTGTCCAGCCTAATATGCTTTCTTTCTTTTACTTTTTCTCTCACTAGATGAATTTCAAGATTTTCCACTAAATTGAACAAAAATATTGGCAGACAGGTTACCTGAAGAAAGAATGGTATGGGCTCATTTTTATTATTAAAAATAGAATATATCAAAAGAAAAACAATTCAATTAAAGAATTTATATAAAGGCTATCCTGTCACTAGTGGTAACCTATTCATTGTTGTTTTTGAGTTTAGAATTATGACTGTTTTCGGCACAACAGTCAACTCACTATTTTAAATTGCTAAGCAGCTGAGGTTACAAACCTTTGCAGATCTACTTATTTGTGTCTGCCCTTACTGAAAGGTTCATAGTTAAAATAGATTTATGAATCTAATATGAGCTCATTTGTATTAAAAACTAGTTAGCTTAAAGCTACTTTAAAAACATGCTCTTAAAAGTATTCCAAATGACTTCCAGGGCTAGTTCCTACAGACACTGAAAAGTGAGGATTTTATTTTCTTTGGGAAAAAGTCTATTTGAAATAATGTATGTCTTCTGAAGGAATCATTTTCTAAAATTTGCATATTTTCCAGCAGATAAATCTCAATATAGGCAATGAAAAATGTGAAAGGCCTTTTATGTGTTGCTTGCCTTAAGTTTTATTTAAATGGGGCATACTTTTTAAATACACAAAACTCCAAAGACATAAAACTGCCAATGCCTTTATCCCTCCTCCCCATGTCACAAAGCTGTGACTCTGAGGCTATGATGAAGCAACTAATAGAAATCTTTGGCATAAATCTGTTACCTGTGGGAATAATAGAACTATTTGCTATAGACATTTGGCAAAAGGATGCAAACATATGGCTTTGGTTTACATTCAGCATTGCCAGTTGCATAAAGTTTCTGAATAGACTCTGCAACAGTGGTAGCAACATGAAGTCTGAAAGACAATGTGAATACAGTCTCCACTAAAACATTTTCCAAGCTTGCTTCAGGTCTAAGCTATTTCCTCTTAATGCTGCATTTCTCAGGGACCCAAGAAAAAAATTACCTTTGGAAATTATTCCACCTGTGAGTAACATGCAAAGGCGTGGTCTTTGGATAGAGCTGTGGCCCAGAGAACTATTCTTAGTCGGAATCTGCTTTCTCCTTCAGGTTTTCTGTTTGTAGGGGTATTAAAAAGGGCTAAGGAGACAAGAGGAATCATACATCTGAACTGAACATGTCATCCAACCTCTCAGCCTTCTATACAGAATCAAAGACCATACAGAAATAGGCACATAGATCTGGAGAAATAGAATCAAGAATAGGGTGCCTTAAACAAATGAGAATGAGAAAACACTTATAAATGTGTCACCATGGTGGGGGCTTTAAGACAGCAGCTTGTTAAAGTTCACATTAAAAATGTTGACACTAAACATGCTTCTATTCTTCCTGAGTAATCAAAAAATACACGAAAGCTAGACAAATAGGAGGGCAAGAGTGGAGAGAACCAAGAAATATTCTAGCCCAGCATTTCTTACCACAAGTCAGCATTCCCCTCTACACAGTATCACAGCTAATTTGTTCATAACTTTCCTTATGTAAAGTAGATATCTAGCCACCACTCTGGACTGACCCACAGTTATGTTTAGAACAGGCCAGCATCGCTAAAGGAAAGGACACTTAATATTGGGCCCTTTGTCCTCAAGCCAGACACATTTCATTCTGATAGACTAGCATCATCTGGTCATTTCGATTATTTTGACTTTCAGGTCTTTTCCCGTTTCTTAGATATCTTTTCATTATTTTATAAATTTCAGTTCTGATAAGGAAGTATCTATTAAGGATACACAGGATCTCAGTGTGAGGAACCCAGGGCTTCCTTATACAGCTACTGAACACCATCTCCATTTTGCCACGAGTTTCTCAGGGTTGAAAGGACATCTCATGGGCTGGGGTTATAGGTCATAAGAAGGCACTTGCCTAGCAAATGCAAGGCCACAAGTTCAAACCCTACTACCACCATGATAGATAGATAGATCTCACAAGAATGAAGTATTATGTTACATAATGTGATAAAATAAAATATTGCCATTTCAAACATGTCAGGATAGGAGCACAGTGAACCCTGGTTATGAAGTGAGAAGAAATTAAAGCACAGCTTTGTTGATAAAAAATCTTTTTGTACAAGTATGAGGACCTGAGTTCAATTCCCAGTATCCATGTAAAAATCCATTTATGGTGTGCACTCATAAACCTAGGACTGGATAGATGAAAACAGGAGGGTTCCTGGAACTCATTAGTCTTCTACTCTGTCTGAATCTGGGAGTCTCAGGTGACTGTCTCAGAAAATAAGCTTGGTCACTTTTGAGAAATGACACTCGAGGTTGACTTTGGGTCTTCACATGCACATGTGTGAGTGAACATCCACACACCCAGGTATATTCACACACACGCCATAACTTCTCCCCCACAAAAAAGCACACAAATAAAAATAACAATTTTACAAGAAGGAACATGATTGAATGTTGGACATATTAGAAGGATTTCTCAAATTAAAAGCTCCCGTTTGAGCTAGATATCAATACATGTTAACTATGTATGAGTTTTCAGAAATTACCCCAAAACAGAGTTATTACATTGACCTTCCCATGTGTTGTGAACCCGTCCTTCCCCTAAGAACAAGACACTATGAATCTGCTCTACTGTTACTGTGTATATCTGTGTTGAAGAAAAACACATAATACAAGTGAGGTTGAGTTTGTGGATTTTGTATAATGTTCCTCGAACCATTTCTCTCAGAAGACAGTCTGGGACTTCCTTTCAACCCCAAAATAGGTTTCAGATGTCTGCACTGGAGTGCTGAGGTAGCAATCGAGGTTTTGCCCTTGATATAATAAGCTCCAGTTAGAAGAGATGGTTAGGAAATTGTTCATACATCTCTGTATAGGTCTCTAAGTAAAGATCCTAAGTGGTATCTCTCAGTAGTCACCTAAGTAGCTTTCACTCTGTTGTTATTTTTCCTCTGCATTGTATATCAGTTAATTCTACTCCTGCTTCTTATATATCCTTCATGAAATGTTTATTGACTTTCTTCATTTTATTAATGTTTTTCCCACTCTCAAGTTGTTCTTACATTTGCTTGGCTACCCAGAACAATGCACCAGGAAGCCTTTTGCAAAAAGTTTCCCATGTTGCTTTATTATGTTACATTTTTAGCAAGAACTACCTTTTTCTTTCTGCTGTAATAGTGTGCATGCTGCATGTGAACTACACGTTACACTTAACTCTTCCCGATTTGTTTGTTAAAATAGTGCCTCACTGTATAGCCTTGCCAACCTTGAACTTGCTATGTAAACCATACTACCTGACCTCAAACACACAAGATTCACCTGTCTCTGTCTGCCATGTGCTGGGGTTAAAGGTGTGTGCCACCATGTCTAGCAAATTCATCTTAATGTGTTTCAGATTAAGAATAATAGCAATGGTAAATTAGAATTCCTTGTAGGCATCTTGGGAATATCTTCAATTTTTCTGCATAAATAATTGACTATACAAATGGTGTATAAAATCCACAGGACAGATTTTTACAATAAATTTGTGTTTTGAAAAAGATTCATAAGTTTTACAATGTTAACTAAAATAGTCTCGATAACCTTTTGGTGCCTAGACAGAAAGATAACCAAATATCACTTTCCAGAAAGGGGGAAAATAGTCTCTAAGAACTATAGTTTTCAAGATTAGTAAGTTTTGAAGTTGAAACTTTGGGTCTAATCATAGGCATGCAAAGGAGCAAGGCTATAATTTATAATTTATAATTATCTCACTGTCCTTCTCGCCTTCATCCTCAAGAGCAGTGTCTGTCATGTGGGGAGCACTAATATCAGAAATTTAAAACACATAAGCATTTCTTTGTGGTGGAAGTTCTAACATCTGTGAAATGTCTTTTCTTACATTCTAATTCAAAATCAGATCTTATTGGACCATGGCAGAGCTCAGTATCAGAAAACAATGTGAAACACACACACACACACACAAACACACACACCAGATCTTTGCTCTCTAGAACTTCTAAGTTTTATTCATTTGGATTACTTCCAGGGACTTTGAAAACCTTCAAAGGAAAGAAAGAAAGAAAGGAGAAAAGAAAGAAGGGAAGAAAGAGAGAGAAAGAGAAAAGGTAGCTTAACAAAATAGTTATGAGATGAGCTTTTAAGACCAGTCAAGGGGTGTTTATGCATCCCTCCCAGTGGCAATAGTGCAGTGGTGGATATGTAGGATGCCTATAAGACCCAGAGCCAAGGCTGGATCCTCAAAGCTCCTAGAAAAAAGACTGCATTTTAGTTTGTTTTTTAAACTTTTGTGTATGCCTTCAGGAACCCTTGACTGTCTGTGTTCTGGTTTTGGTAAAGAACTTCATGGAGTTCAACCATCCTTCATGTTGGGGCATTTTTTTAGAGTGACTAGGGAAGGTTAATAGCACCTGTGTTGCTGAATAATAGACTTGCATTATGTGCATGCTTGCCCATGGGAATAGCTTCCTCAGAAATATGTGATGCGTCTCATCATGTTAACCCTCACATGCTACTGATCTCTCTTAATCTAGTTATTTGTGTAGCACACAGAGCTACGTTTGTATGAGCTGAGCCACTTTATATGCAGCAGAGATCCTCCAGGGAGGAGGGGGATTTCACAACGCAGTATGTGCCGTCCTGAGTAAACCAAGCCCTTTTAATCCTAGGCATCTGTCATAAACTCATATGGTTTCATAAGAAAGGAAATCAACAGGAAAAAAACTACCTCTGTTTTATTGTTGTTTTCTCTTATTGTGTACTTTTAAAATATTTATAACAATGGAGCATTTTATTTAGACTAAAGCGGCTGCTGTTCAGCCAAAGCCGTGAACACTTTTTGTCTGCTAATTTAAAAAGCGGTTCAATGATTGGTTTATTATTATGAAGCAATGACAAAAGAGTTCTGGTGGGTTTAATAGTTTTAGCTTACGAGAGCTGTTGTTAATTTCATCTGTAGTGTTGCAGGTGAAAAAATGCACAATGGATAAATAGTCTATATTGGTTTAACTGAACATAATATATAGTGTGTTCTGGAGTTGTTTGTCTCAATAGACTATAGTAATCAAAAGTAATGAACCTATTATGTGCAGGACCTTGGAGAGCGTCGAATGGCAGTAAAAGTGTGGCACATAAAAGGTTTATTAAAGGAAATTAAAGTCCATCATTGCCACACCTGCTCCCCTATTATAAGTCCATGGCAGGTCAGTGCCTTCAATCACAACCTAGACTCTGAGAGTGGAGCCTAGCTCCCATTACTATGGCAGTCACATTGCTGCTGCTCACGGCAGGACTTACGGATGGGAGCCACAGAGCATTGCTGCTGCCTGTCTCTTATTTTCCACAAGCAAAATACCTTATTACTATTTAAGAGTTATAAAAACATGCAGAAGTGAATTAAACTAAGAGGTTATTAGTGGATTCTAGCAAAATGGATAGATGTCCTGGATCAGAATGCATAAAAACAAAAGGCTTTGTAAACCTTTCTAGCCCTTTGATCATTTGTTTGACTACTTTTAAAATAGTCAGTAATGATGGGAATTTGATACTTCCATGCACCTCACTTGGGTTTTACATTTCTTCTACATTTTAGTGATCATGTGGCTGCAGTTTTTCTGGAATTCAGAGAGTAAATGTAGTTCACTGTTGATAGTTACAACTCCCAATGGAATTTTGGAGGAGCACTATAAGGGTTTGCCTTTGGGTTGCATTTTTACATTGGCAGTTGCTTTTCCTAACTTAGAAGAGGTATAATCAGAAAGCATCTAGAAGGATGAAGGCATTTGAAATTGGTAAATCAGTCTGGATCTTTTGTCTTCGTGTTTGGAGTTCTCACTTCACAAGCTCTGCTGATGAGACAACCCTTTTTCAGTCTTTGGAATTCTATAAGCATGCAAATCATTAGTAAACACTTGTGGCCGAGGCCATCTGCCCTGTTGCTGTTATCATTTCTGGTTTCCAACATCTGTAGACATGTCTCTAAAATCAGTAGTACTCGAGACTAGTCAGCCAGATCCCATAGAGCTAGAAGGAAATTGAGGAACATGGAAGGCTATATGCTGCTCTTCACAATGACCTCCAGAATTTCTAATTACATGTTTTCACAGTCTTGTCAATGTCAAAGTAATGATCCCAGTACTTTGTGTTCATATTACAGATGGATGCAGATGTTGAAGATAAAACATTGCATACTTTCTCAAAAGGAACTGAAGGTGAGTTAGTGAGCAGGCTCCCTGACACTGTGCCTACCACACCATGAAAGATGGGAGTGCCTATACTTGTCCCTTGTGTGTAGTAAGAGTAAGCAAAGAATGCCTCACAAAAAACTTTGAGTAGCAAGAGTGATGATCTCTAGTGACTAGAACAAAGAAAAAGGATTGGCAGCTTCATGCCGAAACTGCTTTTTATCTTTATGCTGTCTGGCTTAGTAGTCCCAATCTCTACTTAGTTCAAGTGAAATGATAACATTTGTTTTTTGACTGTTCCTGCTGGGAGTTCCAGGCAGCTTCAGAAAGAAGTGTTTGGAAGGTTCAACTTGTTGGCTACCCCTCTTTTTTTGTAACCAACAGATGGTAATGTAATATTGAAATATAAACAGGCCCTTGATGATCTAAACAGCTGGAAAACAGGATTGACTGGCAATTACACCCCTCAAGGAAAATAACTTTTATTATAATTAGCTATATTTTTGTGACCCTGAATTCTAAGTGGAAAACTAGTTTTACCATGGCTCTGAAAATATTCTGGAGAACCATCCTTTACATTCTGTCCTAGTGTTCACACTGATGGGGGAAAGCTGAGCACTGTGACCCTACCTTCCAGGGAAGGTTTGGGATTTACAGTTGAGAGTGACTAATCAGATGCAATGCATCTGTTAGCTATGTGTTTACATATGTAGTCAACATAGGTAATTCCCATTTAACTAAAATCCAGAGTACCAATATTTTGCATGTAGTAAGGATGAAATTCTTAGTTAAAATATATGCAGTTGTTGTCACTGACCAGTGCATCACAAATGCAAAGTAATCCTGTATATAGTATGGACTTTTATCTACTGAAACAGAACTTTTACTCTGTATTATTGTTTAATTTTATTTTAAATGACTTTTGAAGTAATCATATCCTGTATCTTTAAATTTGACATATGTTTCTATGGCTTTCAATTTTTTTGCAGCAAACTTCTCAATAGGATATGTGGTTATGAAAAATAGTCTATTTCATTAAGTAGAATAAGCTCATGCTTGCTCTAAATAGCAGGACTCTAGAGATTAGACTGTGTGTCCCTTATTTTGTTCTTTCAAAGCATACCACTCTACCACACTTTCAAGATGTGGGTCTTTTAATTTGCAGTTATATTTGGTCTTTATTTTATTTTATTTTTGGCAATGCACTCACAGCCTTAAATAGAGCCAACATGTTCTTTCAGAAGTGAACTACTGTTTCTTGTGAAGTGTGAGTAATTTGGAAAACCACCTGTTGTCTCCCTCCATATGCTGCTTATCCTTGTGTAGGCAGGTATTTACCAACATGAATTCCTTTAGTTCCCAGAATTTCAGGCAGCAATTCAACACTCTTTGAATAAGTCCCTTATTTTGAAAGACTGTTGATGCTAACAGTGCTAAAGCTTGTTCCTGTCTCCCGTATGTAGGAACTGTTTGGGATCAACTTGAGTCACTTACTAGTGAAGCTTGCAGTTTTCTCTGAAAACTTGCCTACTGACATTAAATATGCATGCACGGGACCGTGGTATAGCACACAGGTAGATGCTTGCATAGAATCTGTGACCCAGAACCACAAAAATATGTAACTAAAAGCAGTAGCCTTGGAAATCTTTTGAATAGTTTCTTATTAAAAATAAAATCAAATTTTTCTTGTTGTGATTTTTTTTCAAAATACCCCTAACTACAGGTCATAGGAAAGTCGAAGCAACCAGGATCCAAGGCCACTCAGTGTACCATACCTAGAATGAATCTGTTTTGGGGCCTTGTTGTCTGCCCTCTATTTCCAAAAACAACCAGAGTGAAAAAAACTCATTCTATTCAGTGAGAAGCTTGGTGATGTCTGTCCTAGACAGTCACTAGTGTTGTCTCTAGTTAGGGGGAAGGCTTCAGTCATACAGTTTTAAAAATAAACTCAATTGAGACTCTTTCTTTTCTTTTCTTCTCTTTTCCTATCTTTCTTCCTTCCATCCTTTATTCCTTCCTTCTTTCTCTCTTTCAATTTTTTTTTGTGAACAGTACCAATGGATTCTCTGATCCAAGAACTCAGGTAAGATCTCCCCTTCATGACTCTTTCAAATATTGATTGGTTTAGATTAGTTTAGAATGAATTGTATTTCTCTAGGCTCCTTGCTTTCGAATGAGGACTAAACAAAGAGTAACCTCATTTTGGCTCTTTCTAACCCTTGGGGAAGAAGAGAAGGGCAGCAGCTGTGGTGATAATGGAGCTGAGAATATTTTACCTGAAAGTTTAATTTAAAAGCTTTTGTATAGTGTCAGTAATTACCTGCCTTCCTTCACTGGCCACCTCTTTTCCGTATGCCTGTATACTATGTGTGGCTGGAATTTGCACTGGTGGTCCATGAGCCCGATGAATTACCTAGATTCTAAGTTATCCATTTTTCATTTTAAATAGCAATTTCCATCAGTTAGTTACTTCCTATTTTTAAGCTACACAGTAGAAAATAATGTGACAATTTTTTTAGCAGATCCTTCTAGTTCTGTTTTAGGTATTGTTCCTTGGACAATGTTTGGAAAATGCCACCTCACTGAGTGATGTAGAACTTCACTGGGGTGTAATTCACAGAATCATTGTTAAAATATTAACAAAGTACAAATAGGAAAGAAAGGAGAAACAGCCTGAGTATACTAGCTGTGGGGTGCATAGTTACTCTTGCACACACATTAAGCCTCCACTCCATGAACTGGCCTGACTTTGAACTCAGAAACCTCTGTTTGTATTCTCAGGGCAATGCTTGGCAAAGAAGGAGTGTGACAGTGTCTGACCTACTTGCACTGCAAGGGGACATACTAACAGGTTGCACAGTTTATTCCAGGCACTGTGCGTAGTGACTCCCTTAAACATAGGCTCTTAGTTACTTCTTCCTCTTTTAAGGAATTGAATTTGTCCCAGCATCAATTCATTTTGTTATTTAGAATTCTGGTGTGCTTCTTTATGAAAAGTTGCTAGCAGGAAATCTATAGGTTTGCCTGGGTTAATGATATCTTCATTAAGAATTTAAAGTTTTATTTATTTATTTATTTATTTATTTATTCATTTATTGGTTTTACAAGACAGGGTTTCTCTGTATTATTTTGGAGGCTGCCTCTGCCTCCCGAGTGCTGGGATTAAAGGCGTGCACCACCACCGCCCGGCCTAAGAATTTAAAGTTTTAAACTAGAGCAGTAAAAACAGGGCACGTTCACATACACCCAGACCAGATTACAGCATGGAACTGATCACATGTGAAGCATGAAATTTCTTGGCTCTTTTAAAATTCTTGTGTTAAAGGGAGGATGTCCTTTAAATGATTTACGGAAGAGAGAACATGCGATGTTTGTGGTACCATCTTCTGTGACTACAAGGATGGCTTACCTGTGGCAGTAACCACAAAATTTTCAAGGAACCAAGTCATTTACACATAAGAAAGGGACCTTTCAAATGATATGTCTTTAAAACTGGCTTTAAAATGAGTGAACTTTGAAGGAATAATATGCATGCATTGACCTAGATGGAGTATCTACTTCAGATGAAGAAGCAGATGGAACTAAACAAAGAAGCTAAATGTGGGAAATGTGTTGTGTAACTCTTATTGAAAAAGTACTTCTTAAGTATACTATTAGCACTTATGACTATGTTAAAAATGGCATTTGTTGAGGTCTTATATACCAGATACTGCTAATTTTATCATCCAAATACATCATTTAATCTCCCTAGTAACCTTAGAAGGTACAAAATATTATGGTTGCAGTTTTCAGAAAAATACATGAAAACCAATAGCTTATGCAAATATCCCATGGGTACACAGCTAGTAAATCATCCGAAATCCTAGCCACAGCTCTGTTCTTGTTCTTGGCTGTGCTTTCTCTGACCCACAACCAATCCAGCAAAGAGTGGAAATCACAGAGGTACCATCACCCAGGATCTCAAGAGGCTAGATCTCAGAGTACCACAGTCAGCCTTGGATAAAGTCTAATTCTGGACAAAGAATTCCTTATCTCCTAATTGTATAAAAATTAACCATATGAAATATTCCATTTTACTTAATCTGTTAATAGAGTAATTCAGAAAGAGGATAACTGTTGCTGGGAAATCCACACATTTTCAGGCCTTCTAAATGAGAACAAGCTCTAAAAAGAACTTCCTTAAATTTTGTAGTAGTTGGATGACCATGCTTAGGCATTCTTGGTCCCAAAATGTTTCTTATAGTTTAACTTGACCTAAACATAGACCCTATTTGCCATTCTACATGTATCTTATGGAGGAAAGTAAAGTAGTGATTTAATGAAAACATGTATTGCTATCATTTTAGTTTTTGTGTTTAGTTTCTTAACTGACTCCACAGGTTTTTCTGCAATTGAGCATCACAACCATGTATCTGAATTGTTAAGTGTCACTAAGAAATGTGTGATGTTCTCCCCAGCCTAGAAGTTATGATTGTAGAGAATGCTGGTAATATCATATAGCTCTCTTTAAAATGAACTGGGTATGCTACTGTTTTCAGAGTGATTACTTACAAAAAATACTAATGCAAATGAAGTTAATTTTAATATAGTATATATTTTCATGGACTAATAAAAATTGATACCAACATTCTTAACTTATTATTCTGCATGTCAGCTACTATCATTGCCATTAAAATCAATTTATAAGGATAGGCCCACCTAATCCTCACCTTTATTAGCATTTCCAGTTTCCTCCAACACATTCATGTTACAAGTGGTGTAGAGGAAGTTCTGTTGGCTTCCCCATCACAATGACTGCATTATCTCTGCTGTCTTCTTACTACCATTTTCCTTAATCTGGACCTCATGCACTGTATCTATTAATACTGCTAACTGGCTAAAACATTGGCAGTCAGTCCACCCCTTCCTTTAATTAGGACAACATAGTCTTACCTCTAAAATGACTTCTTATGTGATTCCTTAGAGACAGTGAATATAAGGCATTATTGTCCTGTGGTTTATTGCTGCTTACCAATTTGTTGGCTTAAGTGTTATAATGAAATGTCTAGTTTGATGTCCCTTCCTACTTTATTTTCTCTAATACTTTGTTTTAAGTTTTAAATTGCTGAATACTTTATGATCTCTAATCAATAAGCTAAAAAGTTAATGATTTGAACATAAATGAAAACTTTTCTAACTTATAAAGTTAGATGATGTCCTGGTTTTGTTCTATTTTTAAATTTTCTTTATACAGCCTCATTTTAATACTTTATGCATTCAATTTTAATAAAATAAAGCTTCTATTGGTAGTCATGATTATATTATAACTGCATAAATATTTCTAACAACTAGGTAACAACTAAAGGAAATATTAATAGAAATGTACTTACTTGGCATAAAAGTATCTTAATGTCTATCAGGGGAGCCTTTTACAGGAATGAAAACAAAATGAAGTTTGCTGCTTAATAAGAAAACTTAATAAACTATTATAATATCATGTATTTATGAATTTGCGTAAAATCTTATGGTATTTAGTGCTGAACTTGTTACTGAGTGACCCCTGTATCAATTCCTATTGAATTAGTCCTCAAAACATTATGCAATGTCCAATTGGATCCACACAATAAGCATATAAAGTACTCAGGACAAATGATTACCTGCAGTTAGCTCTTGAACTGAGTACAGGGCCAGGGCATGCTTAAAGTGCAGTCTGACTGAGTAGAGGGCTCCGAGGCAGAGCATGGATTCTGTTTGACCACCAGCTCCTGTAGCCACTTTGTACTATTCACTGTGAATGTTGTTTTTAGTGTCCCATTTAAATTAACTTACACTTTGTTGGTAAATTAATAACAGAGTGAAACATATCCTGGCTTTAAAACAAACTTCTGCACTTCCTTTTTCTTGGAATGTCAGTTACGAAGAAAGCACCACCTTTTGCTTCTAACTTGGTTTCCATGAGTTGACTGTGGCTGTAATTCTACATGAAAATGTCAAGAAATGAAAAAAAATCTCTGTTCTCTGTGTTTTCTTCTTTCCATACTGGTGAACTATTAAGGACCTTCAGCTTCTGTTTTATATTGTGAGAGAGGTGTTGGGCTAGCCATGAAGTCCTAGTCAATCTGGTACCCTTAAATCAGAATACTAAGTGAACCTCATATCATATCCTCCATTCAGCCATCCGTGTTTGCAAAGTATTGTTCAAGCCTCGGAGGGACTGAACCTCTGCAGACATTATTCTCTTTTTCATCCAGAGTCATACAGTATCTAATCCCTTAACATCTACAGTGTTAGGCATTGTGAGTCATCAAGACATCTTGTAGACCATCCAGGGGTGTACATACAGGACATGCAGTATTGCTATGCCATTTTAGACAAGACTGTTGAGCATGTCAGGTTTTGGTCTCTGAGAAGAGGATATGGAAATTATATCCCAGGGTCACTGAGGGATGGTTATGTGTGTATATAGTGATTGTGTTGATAGCCATGGTATGCCCTATGTAACATTACATCTCCTACTAGAAAATACTAGGGAGCTAAAAAGTAAGTACTCATAAATATTAAGAAACTCCAAAACAAATTGTGAACTAAAAATGTGTTATGCTTTCCTTCCATGATCAAACACTCTCCCAGGGAAATTGGTGATCCCTATCAACCCATTGTTAATCCAGTTAAAGCAATGTCACTAGCATCCCTAGAAACCAGGACTGTTGCAGAATTCCACTACCACAGGGTACATTCAGTTGAACCGTGAAGATTCATTTGAAGTTTACTGGGATGCTTTTCAGAGCATGGTTAAATTTTCTACTCCTAACCAAAGGAGAAACGTGTTGTGTTATTTATCTCATAGTCCTTCTTCTGCACTAGTGTAGTGTTGATACAGTGGACTCATAGTGGACAGCACAGTAAACCCATGGGATCAGGTTACAGCATCCCCAGAAGGGGTGTGAGCATAGGCAGTGAATGATGTCACTTCTAACATCTTCAAGCCATTTCACAGCAGACATAAAATGTAGGATTTATTTTTTTATTCTAAGGATTTTTATATCAAGGATTCTCCCCATTTTTAAAAAATTTCAATCACATTGCCATACTCCTTTTAAGAAA